TAAGACCCCAGACACTATATCTTTTTATAGCCAGGCACTATCAGCTTTCTTCACCCCATTTGCTTATGCACCCACTTTGTCTTCAGTGATCATGTCAGGAAGGTGAGCATCATGGAATGCCAGTTTAACAGAACAAAGGGTTCTTGCATTGAAGGAGTACTTGTGGAGGCCCAATGTTCATCTGCTACCTTAATACTAAACTGATAAATATATGCATAGATCTATGTTCCCATCATATATATATATATATTTACATATGTACATGGCTGTATTTAGACTTCTATAAATGCCCTTTGTCTCTTAGTTCTTTCCTCTATTTCCTTTTACTTTCCCCTTGTCCCACTCCCATGCTCAGCCGAGGCTGTCAATCTTTATGGGAACAGAAATCTCCATCTTTCTCTTGCAGAGCAGCTACTGGTTTTGATCTGCTGGCCTTGCAGTTAATGAGTAACCCACTATGCCACCAGGGTTCCTTGAGTTTAAGTATGAATATATATATATATATATATATATATAAAAAGAATATAATAGGTTTGGAAAATCTAAGTAGATTCATGGGGCTGTGGCAAAAGAGAAATACTGGTAGTACTAGAAATTTGGAAAAAGGGGTAATAAAAATCAGGACCATCTCATTCCTCAATGTCTGGCTCTGGAGTTGTACAAGGTTAAGACTGAGAACATAATACCATGGGCAAATATGGAGACAGGAGAGCACAGACAAGAATTTGGTTTGGATACAGGTGAGTCCATGAGCTATCCATGTAAATATACTTGCAAATTAGGAAAGGGCAGTTTTCACATAAAAAGCTTTAAAAATGTTATGTTCAGCATATGTGTGCTGCTATATCTGCGAGCATGTACACACATGAGAGAGTAATTGAGTGTATATGGCAGTTAACTGAATTTCGGGGAATACTTCAATGCTCATTTTACAGACAGCACATTTACCAGAAGCAGCTAACTTTAAAATACAATGCAAACTCTCAACAGAGAAATCTGGCCCCTCCCTCCCTCCCTCCACCCATCTTTCCTCCAGTCACTCCTCCCGCCACATTCATCTGCTTTGGAGGAATGTTCTTGCCTTAGAGTCTTCCCTCTTGCTCTTCCCTCTGTCTGAGCCACTCCTCTTTGCAAGGCCGTCCTTCCTACCCTTTAGGTATATGTTTAAATGTCACTTTCTAGGAAAGGCCTTATCTAACCACCTGGTCTCTATTAGATCTCATTGTCCCATCCACTTGCTATTTTCCATCACAGTGATGTATTCTTTCCCATCCACAGTGACCCTAAAACTCTACGAAGGCAGACGTCATGTCTACTCTGCTCAATGCTCTCCATGCATACATTTTGCATGAATGTTGAAGGAAAGGTGATTGGAAACCAATAAAACCAGTAGCTCTGAATAATACAGCTTCTCAGAAACTATGAACTTTCAACAGAAAAGATGAAAAATGTATGTAAGAACAAAAATGTCTTACCTCCAGCAATGACAAAATGACTGAGGGCATTTTTATTTCGGTACACATTCAGACCAGTGGTCACTGAGCTAGGAAGAAGGAGGAAAACATAACATGTAAGGTATATCCTATTAACCTTCTTGACTGCTATTGCCATTAAAGTGATAAGACACGGAGGCAGACGGGAGTACTAGATCAACCTCTGGTCTTGGTCGAAGCCTCTTCAATGTGTTCCAGATTGCTAATATGTCTGTGGGTTTTCTAGATGAACCTTCTCCTGCTGGTCCAAAGAATAACCAAATTTACAGAACAAATAGTTACGTAGAAACAGAAATGCAGAGAAGAGTTTGGCAAACTTTTTCTTACTTAAAAACCTTCTATCAGTCCATGTAGAAAAAAAAATGTTTGAACACTGTGGCAGCTATTGTACAATTCTACTTGATGTGACTGAACTATGGAATGATAGGAGATATATATTAAATCCCAATTAATAATAAATTTTAAAAAAACTTTTGCATCAAAATAATGGCTAATTGGCAGATTTCCTTCATGGATGCCACACTACAACTGATGAGGAGTCTTTTACCCAGATAAGGAGACATTCTCGAGAAAAGGTTATTACTATAAATTGCTGTAATGTGAGTGTTCCGTGTGCATAATCTCACGTGCTCAAAGAGCGTGCTCCGAAAAGCACGTCGTGCCGCTCTCACGGGACTCAGCCATCACGTACTTGAATGTGGTCACAAACACCGCCGTTCTCCAGCTCCAGCGCCAGCCATACCGAATGAAGCCCCGAGTGGCAGCACGGTGGGCAGCTTGCTAAAGGGAAGGAAAAGACTGCATGGCAGCGCAGCTCACCGCTTTGCTTCCTACTGCATGTGGCCAGGAGGCGTCAGTTACGGATCAGACATGTTCACCCAGGCAGACAGCAATAATAAGCATACTAGAGAAAATCTGTAGAAATGGCAGTCTTTAAGAATTGAGGCTTTGCCAGCAGTACTATGTGTATTCAGTTTTACCAGTGATAGTAAGAAACTAAGAATTGACAGTTGTGGTAGTTACATAATCTGTCAACTTGAGGGTAGTAAGAATGACGGGGTGGGGTTTAGCCTGTCAATCAGGCTGCAGCTTGACTGGGGGCCACTGAGATAAATGGCTCTCCGAAGCTGGGCTCTACCTTTCTCCCTGGAGGCGGACCACAAACACTCGCTCTGCTTCACTTCCTGTTGACAAGCTACATGGAGCACGGTGAGACCTATGAGAGCCCTGG